CAGCTACTCAGGACAGGGAGCTGAGGTACGAGGATCGCTTGAGTCCAGAAGATTGAGGCTGCAGTGAGCCATCATCTCACCACTGCACTGCAGGCTGGGCAATAAAGTGAGACCCTTTCTCAAAAAATGAAAAAGAAATTCAGGAAAATTCTAAAAAGTATAGTGTAAGGGGATCTATCCTTAGCAGATATTAAGACATTATCGCACTACAATAATTAAAACTATTTATATGATATATGAACAAACAGGTTATTTAAACAAAATAGAAAGTTTAGCAAATATATAACAGTGGCATATTAGATAAGTGGTGAAAGTTGTATTTTTCTCTAAATGGTTTTGGAAACTCAACCATTTGGAAAAATAAAATTGTGGCCATATCCCACATCTTAAATTTGGGATAGATTCCCAGATGAATCATAAATTTAAATAAACATAAAATTAAAAACAAAGATACCAAAAGAAACCATGGGAAAGAGATTTTGTTAATCTCTGACGTAAAAGCCAGAACTCATACAATGAAATACTGATAAATTCAACTGTATAAAAATGGAAAATATCTATGTGACCAAAACTGGCAAAAACAAAAATGAAAATTTGAGAAAATATTTGCAGTGTTTATTATAGACAGAGAACTGATTTTTCTTATATATGAAGAGCTCCTGTAAAGCAATTAGATAAAGATCAACATCCAGCAGGAAAATGGGCAAAAAAGATAAGAGAGCAGAAAGAAATTACTAGGGCCCAGTGTGATGACTCAATGCCTGTAATGCCATCACTTTGGGAGGCTGAGGTGGGCGGATCACAAGGTGAGGAGTTCGAGACCAGCCTGGCCAATATGGTGAACCCTGTCTCTACTAAAAATACAAAAAAATTAGGTGTGGTGGTGCCTGCCGGTAATCCCAGCTACTCGGGAGGCGGAGGTAGGAGAATTGCTTGAACCCGGGAGGCAGAGGTTGCAGTGAGCTGAGACCATGCCATTGCACTCCAGCCTGGGCAACAGAGCAAGACTCCATCTCAAATAAAAAAATTAGCTGAGTGTGATGGTAGGCGCCTGTAGTTCCAGCTACTCCAGAGACAGAAGCAGGAGAATCACTTGAACCCAGGAGGCAGAGGTTGCAGTGAGCCAGAATTGCACCACTGCACTCCAGCCTGAGTAACAGCAAGACTCCATTAAAAAAAAAAAAAACTACCAATGATTCTTAAACAAATGAAAATATAGCTAACCTCAGCCATTAGAGAAATGCTAGTTAAACTACCCAGATGATTTTTCTTTTTTGAGATTACCTGTCAAATTGTCAAAGATCTGGAAGACATTTCTCACTAATTGGCAAGAGCATGAGGAAATGGTATTTACCTACTTTGTGGTAGTCTGCGAGTTAGGACACCCTTTATGGAAAGTAATTTTATAATACCTATAAAAATTTAGCTGGGCGCAGTGGCTCACGCCTGTAATCCCAGCACTTCGTGAGGCAGGTGAATCACCTGAGGTCGGGAGTTCGAGACCAGCCTGACCAACATGGAGAAATGCTGTCTCTACTAGATATACAAAATTATCTGGGCGTGGTGGTACATGCCTGTAATCCCAGCTACTGGGGAGGCTGAGGCAGGAGAATCGCATGATCCCAGGAGGCGGAGGTTGTGGTGAGCCAAGATCACGCCACTGCACTCCATCCTAGACAACAAGAGTGAAACTGCGTCTTAACAAATTTTAAAATGTACATATCCTTTGACCCAGCTTTTTTTTTTTTTTTTTGAGACGGAGTTTTGCTCTTGTTGCCCAGGTTGCAGCAGTGTAATGGCACAATCCACCCGCCTCAGGTGATCCACCTGCCTCAGCCTCCTAGAGTGCTAGGATTATAGGCATGAGCCACCGTGACCGGCCCTGACCCAGCTTTTATACTTCCAGAAATTTATACTTCAGTTGTATTCACCTATGTGCAAATTGATATGTCTTAAATTATTTATTTCAGTGTTGTTTAGCATCAGTAGAAGAACAAAAATTGGGAAACAACCTAGTTATTCATCTATAGGGAACTAGTTGAATAATAAAAGCCATAATCTCCAAGCCATGTTATTTTGTGACAAAATTCAGATACAAAACAGTTTTAAGTGATATGCTGCCATTTATGGGAGTTTATTGTTTTATATATATGACATAAAATTCATCATCTTAACCTTTTTTTTTTTTTTTTCCCCTGAGATGGAGTCTTTTCTCTGTCACCCAGGCTGGAGTCAGTGGCACAATCTCAGCTCACTGCAACCTCTGCCTCCTGGGTTCAAGTGATTCTCCTGCCTCAGTCTTCTGAGTAGCTGGAATTACAGGGGCACACCTGGCTAATTTTTGTATTTTTAGTAGAGACAGGGTTTTTTCATGTCAGCCAGGCTGGTCTCAAACTCCTGACCTCAGTTGATCCGCCTGCCTTGGCCTCCCAAAATGCTAGGATTATAGGCATGAGCCACCGCACCCAGCTTCAACCATTTTAAAGTGTACAGTTCAGTGGCTTTAAGTCCTTTAACAATATTGTACAGACATTACCAGTGTTCGTTTCTAGAACTTTTTCATCATCCCAAATAGAAACTTTGTATCCATTAAACAACTCTTTATTTTCTTCTTCCCCCTGGCCCTAGTAATCTCTATTCTACTTTCTGCTCATAATATAAGTGGAATCATGTAATATTTGTTCTATCTGGCTTATTTTACTTAGCATAATGTTTTCAGGGTTCATCCCTGTTGTACCATATATCAGAATTTTATTCCTAAGGCTATATGTTCATTATATGTATACTACATCTGTTAATGGAGTTATAAGTTTTCACATTTTATCTATTGTGAATAAAACTACTCTTATCAGTGTTGTGTAAGTATCTATTTGATCCTCTGGTTTCTTTTGGATATATACTTAGAAGTAGAATTGCTAGGTCATATGGTAACTCTGTTTAATTTTTGGAGAAACTGCCTAATTATTTTCCACAGCAACTGCGCCATTTTACAGTCCTGTCAACGAGATACAAGGGTTCAATTTTCTTCACATCCTTGCCGACACTTTTTATTTTCCATTTTGGATTTTTAATTTTTTTTTAATATAGCCATCCTAATGGGGTGTGAATTAATATTTTATTGAGGTTTTGATTGGCATTTCCCTAATGATGAGTGATGTTAAGCATTATTTCATGTGCCTATTGGACATTTGTATGCTTTAGAGAAATGTCACTTTAGATCTTTTGCACATTTTTTAATTGGGTTATGTATTTGTCCTATTGTTGAGTTGTAGGAATACATATTCTGAATACTAGACTCTTCCTAGATATATGATTTGCAAATATTTTCTTGTATGTATGGCTTATCTTTTCACTTTCTTGATAGTATCCTTTGGAACACAATGAGTATTGCTGTATTGTCCAGGCTGGAGTGCAGTGGGGCACTCTTGGCTCACTGCAATCTCCACCTCCCAGGTTAAAGCGATTCTCCTGCCTCAGCCTCCCGAGTCACTGGTATTACAGGGGAGTGCCATCACGCCCACCTAATTGTTTTTGTATTTTTATTAGAGATGAGGTTTTATCATGTTGGCTAGGCTAGTCTTGAACCCCTGACTAGGTGATCCACCCACCTCAGCCTCTCAAAGTGCCGAGATTATAGGCATGAGTCACTGCATCCGATGCAGCCTATTTCCTTTGGTTGCTTGTGCTTTTTTGGGGGGGGGGAGGGTGGTTGGGGAGAGGGTGCAGAGTCTTGCTCTTGTCACCCAGGCTGGAGTGCAATGGCTCAATCTTGGCACGCTGCAACCTCTGCCTCCTGGGTTCAAGCAATTCTCCTGCCTTAGCCTCCCGAGTAGCTGGGATTACAGGTGCCCACCACCACGCCTGGCTAATTTTGGTAGTTTTAGTAGAGACAGGGTTTCACCACGTTGGCCAGGCTGTACAAACTCCTGACCTCATGTGATCCTCCTGCCTTGGCCTCTCAAAGTGCTGGGATTACAGGCTTGAGCTATCACACTCAGCCCATTTTGAATTAATTTTTATATGTGATAGTAGGTAGGAGTTCAACTGCATTCATGTGCAGAAATGGAAATCTAGTTTTCCTGATACCATACTATCTTTTGAAAAGAGTATTCTTTCCCCCATTGAATTGTCTTGGAACCCTTATCAAAAACCAGTTGCCCATAAAAGCCCTATTATATGGGTTTATTTCTACACTTTCAGTTCTCTTCCATTTACCTATATATTCTATCCTTATGCCAATATGTATCCTTTTATATCTTTTTTTTTTTTTTTTTTTTTTGTGACAGGGTCTCACTCTGTCACCCAGGCTGCAGTGCAATGGCGCAATCACAGCTCACTGTAGCCTCAACTTCCCAGATTCAGATGATTCCCACTTCAGCCTCCTGAGTAGCTGGGCCTATAGGCATGTGCCACATGCCTCGTTGATTTTTTGTGTTTTTTGTAGAAGTTGGGGGTCTCACTGTGTTTCCCAGGCTGGTCTCGAACTCCTGAGCTCTAGAGATCTGCCCACCTCAGCTTCTCAGAGTGCTGGGATTACAGGCGTGAGCCACCACAACTAGCCCCTTTTATTTCTTTTTAATTTTTAATTATATGAATGTATTCGTCCAAAAATAATAAAATGTTGACTGGACACAGTGGCTCACGCCTGTAATCCCAGCACTTTGGGAGACTGGGGCCGACAGATCACCTGAGGTTGAGAGTTCGAGGCCAGCCTGACTAACATGGAGAAAACCCCATCTCTACTAAAAATACAAAATTAGCCGGGCGTGGTGGCACATGCCTGTAATCCAGCTACTCGGGAGACTGAGGCAGGAGAATTGCTTGGACCCAAGAGGTGGAGGTTGTGGTAAGCAGATCACCCCATCGCATTCCAATCTGGGCAACAAGAGTGAAACCCATCTCAAAAAAATAATAAATAATAATAATAATAAAATGTTAAAACAATTATTAACTGTGACCATAGTTTACTCCTTTAATCTCTTTCTAATTTTCTCTTTCAGGAAAGTGTGCTGTATTGTCATTCAAGGACTTCCTCTCCTGCAGGCCAACTGAAATACCAGAAAATGACATTCTGCTTTGTGAGAGCCGCTACAATGAGAGCGACAAGCAGATGAAGAAATTCAAAGGATTGAAGAGATTTTCACTCTCTGCTAAAGTGGTAGATGATGAAATTTACTACTTCAGGTAAAGCTTGAAAAACTAAAAAAAAAGGAGCACTTCCATTAACTTACGTCAACGTAGTGTAGTCCAATGTTTTTAACTTTTCATTAGATCTTAAACTAGAATAGTAAATATTTCAAATAGAAAATATTTATTAATTCAGTTAAAGATTAAAGGATCATAATCTGCTGGGTCCTGGTAGCTACTTAGCAGTGCCCTTGGCTTAGACTCCAGTAACTGTGGGATGAGGTAGATATGCTTGGTTCTGGTTCATATCCTGTCTGTTAGGAGATTTCTCAGTTCCACAGACTATGAAAACTCTTTTTTTTGAGACAGAGTCTCGCTCTGTCACCCAGGCTGGAGTGCAGTGGCATAATCTCAGCTCACTGCAACCTCCGCTTCCCCGGTTCAGGCGACTCTCCTGCCTCAGCCTCCCCAGTAGCTGGAATTACAGGCATGTGCCACCACACCCGGCTGATTTTTGTATTTTTAGTAGAGACGGGTTTTTACCATGTTGATAAAGCTGGTCTCAAACTCGTGACCTTGTGATCCGCCCATCTTGGCCTCCCAAAGTGCTGGGATTACAAGTATGAGCCACTGCACCCGGCCAAAAACTTTTTGCTGTATATAGGCAACTAGATCCCATCCTTGGACACAATGCTTTTATAGGTATTCAGCAGAATTATTTAAAAACAAGCATCTCTAAATAGAAGTAATTTCATAAATACACATTTAAACTCTTTCCATGCTGCCTTTAGAGTGTACATTGCAGATTGCCAGAAGTCACTTCTAGTGGTTAAGGTGGAACACTGCTTTTTGACTCATTCTGGGGGAGCATTAGCTGATTTTAGGTTTTTTTATGTGACTTTTTTCAGAAAACCGATTGTTCCTCAGAAGGAGCCATCACCTTTGTTGGAAAAGAAGATCCAATTGCTAGAAGCTAAATTTGCCGAGTTAGAAGGTGGAGATGATGATATTGAAGAGATGGGAGAAGAAGATAGTGAGGCCATTGAACCTCCTTCTCTACCTCAGCTTCAGACCCCCCTGGCCAGTGAGCTGGACCTCATGCCCTACACACCCCCACAGGTGAAGTGACAAGTTCCTGTTACTTGTCTTATTCCCACCTTTGGTTTGCAGCACACTCAAAACCAAAGTAAAGAGACATCCAGCCCCCCGCTATGTGAGCTCTAACTTAGAATTCTACAGAAAGGAATAGATTTTAATTTGTCAATGCTATGATTTATTCATTTATTTTTAATTGACAACAATTATATCATGTTACTGTGCCATTAATAATTTATCTGTCATACTAATGCCATTAATAATTTAGAATTAATGTCTCTTAAAAATTTCATAATGGCAGGCTTAGTTAGAAAACTCTTCCTTGTGCTGAAGAAAAGCAATAAGGAGCAACATCACCCTGTTTGTCTTTAGCTTTTATTACCCATGTCTTTTTAATCTCTTCTTCTATAGGACCTCATCTTTTGATTGAGGTGATCTCTGTTGGTATTTTTTTCTTATTCAGAATTTTTTAAAGAATTGGCCGGGCATGGCAGCTCACATCTATAATCCCAGCACTTTGGGAGGCCAAGGCAGGAGGATCACTTGAGCTCAGGAGTTGAAGACCAGCCTGGGCAACATAGTGAGATCTCATCTCTACTAAAAATTTTAAAAATTAGCCAGGCATGGTGGTGCACACCTATAGACCCAGCTACTCAGCAGGCTGAACCAGGAGAATCGCTTGAGCCTGGGAGATCAAGGTGCAGTGAGCTATGATTGCACCACTGTACTCTAGCCTGGTGACAGAGCAGGACCCTGTGTCAAAAAAAAAAAAAAAAAGAATTTTCTCAAGACTTAACTGTGAGGTCACCATTACAGATTGCAGCCATGGAATTCAGTGAAACTTTCATTTATTTCTTACATGGTAATAGGCAAAGAAAGGGTGTGTTTTGACCAAGAAAATAGCCAGCTATAAACCAAATGTGTCTATAAAGCAGTAACTGTTGAATCACATGTTCCTGGCTTCTGAAATTTTGAGCAGTTAACCAGATGTAATGTTCTGATGCACCATAAGAGCTTTCTGTCTTACAGTCTACCCCAAAGTCTGCCAAAGGCAGTGCAAAGAAGGAAGGCTCCAAACGGAAAATCAACATGAGTGGCTACATCCTGTTTAGCAGTGAGATGAGGGCTGTGATTAAGGCCCAACACCCAGACTACTCTTTCGGGGAGCTCAGCCGCCTGGTGGGGACAGAATGGAGAAACCTTGAGACAGCCAAGAAAGCAGAATATGAAGGTAAATAGAGCCTGGGCACAACTGTCTTTCTAAGCAAGGGGTTGTTTTCAGGAATGCACGTGCATAGACAGGTTTTACTCTCGTTCTTACCACTTGCACATGAACTTTATGTTGGGGACTGTTCCAAATGGCACCCAACCAGTAATTCAGATGCCAGCCTTGTCCTGACTGAGCAGAGCACTGCCCCGCCCCTGACTTGGCCTCTGATCTGGTGGTGTATTTCCCCTGCAGATTTCTCCAAGGTATTTTTTTTTCAAGATCTCATAGTTTTATAATCTCCAAAATATTTTGCTATTAAAAATTGCATGATTTTTTTCTTTCATTGAGCCCTGTAAGCACACGTTGAGCCAGGGAATGATTGTACAATGATGTTAAATATAATTTTAATTAAAATTCATCTGAAAAGGGCCTCTTAAAATCAGTAATATTCTGTTACAGCTCTTGGTAAGCCATATATTTAAACTCCAAGCTGAGTCTTTACTAAAGTGCTTGGTTTTCTGGGTCAGTCCTGGCCTATACTGTATCTGTATTTATAGCTACTTTTAAGGTATTTGGGTCTTTTTGATAAAGCTCAACTGCCTTTATTTTCCTTTTATTCTAATTAAATCACTTGGGGCAATGAGCTTTCATTCAAGAATTTGGTGGTTCTTAGCCATTTAGGGACAAATACTTGAGATTTTTTTGTTTTTTGTTGTTGGGTTTTTGTTTTTGTTTTAATATCAGACATGGATTTAGTAAAGAAATTGGTAGTAAACATTAGATTAGGCAGGACTATTACCCTTCGAACTGTATTTTTTCCATCTGGAATTTTATATATTGGTTCATTTTGCCAGTTTAGAGCTATTCTCTCTACAGTGGTCAACTACTACTCTTCTTAGGTGGGTACAGTTCTGTTATTTTCTGGCAAACATAAATTAATTATTTAGGCCGTCCCCTTTATTAAAATTGATGAAGTCTCCAAAAAAACTTCAAAAAAAAGTTTTACTCCTTTCATTTATTATAACTGATTGATTATTATGAAATTATCTGACAGGCTTCCCCAAGGATCTTCTGCAGAGAATTCTAATCCTGCAAGATGTTTAGTCAAAAAACATTTCGTGGCAAAACCAGTTTGAGAAGCATTCCAAACTCTCTCTCTTGGAAACTTATGGTGCCTATTCCCACATTAAAGACTTTAAGAGTAACAGTAAATAACCTGTTTTTTATTATCTGGCATTTTCTGAAATTTGACCAGGTATTTATGTAGTACCTATGAATATCCTGAAGAACTAATATATATATATATATATATATATATATATATATATTATATATATGTTTTTTGTTTGTTTTTTTTTTGAGACGGAGCTTCGCTCTTGTTACCCAGGCGGGAGTGCAATGGTGCGATCTCGGCTCACTGCAACCTCCACCTCCTGGGTTCAGGCAATTCTCCTGCCTCAGTCTCCTGAGTAGCTGGGATTACAGGCACGCGCCACCATGCCCAGCTAATTTTTTGTATTTTTAGTAGAGACGGGGTTTCACCATGTTGACCAGGATGGTCTCGATCTCTTGACCTCGTGATCCACCCGCCTCGGCCTCCCAAAGTGCTGGGATTACAGGCTTGAGCCACCGCGCCCGGCGAGAACTAATATTTTGAAGAATATTCTTTCAAAAACCCTAGTCAGTTCCATAAGAACCTAGAACTTTGTGGAGCTTTGATATTTCTGACCTTAGTGAAAGTTAAGACCTACTGTACCACTCAGCTGGAGGAGCATTGGAAGCTCACATGGATGTTGCTGAGCAAGCAGCATAGCAGCAGCAGCAAGGCAAATGAAGCCAGTGCTGGGTGGCTGGTTATTTAGAGTGTGGGCAGGAGAGAGATACCTGAAGATACTGTGAAGGTAAAAACACTGGATCAGGAAAAGAGGGAGAGGTGATGGCGTCTGGAACATTCTTCCAAATTCAAAGGGGAGTCTGAAAATGAGTGAGAACCTAATGAGGTGAAGTTATATGATTCAGCAGCATCTACCTGAGACATAAAATCTGAACTTTTCGTGTTCTTTCCCATTGAATTCAAAACCCGAAGTTTGGAGTTTGGGAAGCCAGACCAATACTCAATCCGCAGGCCTTATTTTTTTTGTTTGTTTCTATTTAATTTTTTTTTTTTTTTTTTTTTGCTTTCCCACTTTACTGTGTCATTTATATAATGAAAATACTAGAATTTGAAGTGGGACTTTATATTGATTTTTTTTTTTTTTTTACTGCTAGCTCAAGTAAATAGTTTGTTCAAATGGCCTTCGTCTCTCTCATACTCATCATACAGTCTGTAAACTAGGACAGTCTTAGTGATGATAAGGTTATACAGGCAACTCTGTCACAGCAAAGAGGCCTTTGATTGCTTGACTTTCATATTCTTGCTTTAAAGGAGGACTGGAGCTGTAGCTTCTTGATTCTCTGTAAAGTCATATGACCTCGAGCTATTTTCCCCCTCCTCAAATCAGTGGTGTTGAGTTCCATGTTGGAGGGTTTATGTGTGGCAGTTGGAGTGTGATATCAGGAGTTAGGGCCATAGGTTGCTGGTTCTCTCTGTATCCTTGGACAAGTGACTGCCTGTCTCCCAGCCTCCATTTGCCTATGTGATGAGTGGGGGGGATTTTCTATTTATGAATGGTGAGACAAGAAGCTCTATATGGTGAGAGCTTTAGAAATACAACATTTCAGGAGTTCTTCAGTAGGGGTCCAGTGCACTAGCTCCCAAAAACACTGGAAACATGATCATTGGAGCTGCTGGCTCTGGAGATGCAAACAGAGTTGCTCAGAGCATGGAAGGGGGAAGGTAGCAGGATGTATTCTGCATCCCAGAACTGCCACAGCAAATGCTCTTTTTGCATTTTGAATGAAATAAGAGGGATTCTAGAATTTTCACTGACTTAGGGTAGTTTATGGTCAGTATGGAACTGCTCAGCTTCAGGAAACCTGGTTCTTTCAGTACATTGTCCATTGCTACATACATGTATATATATGTAATTCTCTGCTTCTGTTGATTGTAGCTGGAAATATAATGCATTTTTTTCCCTTGGGGTTTATTAAACATGACTTCTTTGCTTCATTAGAATGTAGAAATTAGTTGTTACCCTAAAACCTTCTGGAGGAGGCAGTCAGCTGCTTTTCCCTTACAGAGTTAATTTTCTTCAGCTGCTAAACCCCATGACACTCATGATGAGTCCTCAAATCTTAGTAAAATTGGGTACAAATAATCAGGAAATACATATAGTAAGTAACAATTGTACCAAAAAATATAATGGGCCATGGAATTGCTTCATGTTGAAATTATAAATAATCTGTAATGCTATTAATACTAGAATAATGGTAGCGCTTCTCATCTTCAGGGTGCCTCGTGAGATTAACCATGGTGGTTATGCTGGTGACGTGTTTACATAAAACCTGTGCTTTCTGAATGTGTGTTGCAGTCTTAACATTCTTGAAATCTTTACAGACCAGTTCTCAAGATGGGATAGGAAAGCTGGACTCTAGGTTACCAAGTGAAATCGGCCCGACTCCTCCTGTGTTGAGACTAGTCATCTACTGTTCCTTCCATTGAGACAGAACTGTTGCCTGTGTTTTTACTAGTCCTGTTGAATGCAATGGATGGTATTTTGAATTCCTGGGTTAAAAACAGAATTGAAAATCTGAAATGCCTTTACAGAGCGGGCAGCTAAAGTTGCTGAGCAGCAGGAGAGAGAGCGAGCAGCACAGCAACAGCAGCCGAGTGCTTCTCCCCGAGCAGGCACCCCTGTGGGGGCTCTCATGGGGGTGGTGCCACCACCAACACCAATGGGGATGCTCAATCAGCAGTTGACACCTGTTGCAGGTAAAAACAGGAGCTAAGACCATTTTTTTCCACTTTAAGAAATTCCTTCATTTTTTTTTTCCTCCAATAAGGAGTAGGCCACAGTCTATTGCCTTTTCTCATGACAGATTCAAAGCTTGAAGTCATCCATGTTGTCCTATATTGCCTTTCCCATACAGGCAATGCCTCCCCTCTGCCCCAGAAATGGGCCCTGGGCCCAACCCTGGGAATTGGTAGGGAGCAGCTCTTCCCTGGCTATGGACATGGTCTGGTGATGTTCTCTACCCCAGACTGCTCTTGATAGAGCACTATAGCAGAAAATATGAAAGTAGACCCTTAATTCTGTTCTAGAGGGACTCCCAAGAGAAAACACAAAACCAATCTTTAGGTGGTGTTGATTTTCCCGTCTCATTCCAGTATTCAGTTTGCCTTGTTCTGCTGCAGCCATCCTTAAAAGACTGACCATTTAAAAGGATTTTTTGACAATGAATTGTAAATCCTTTCTTGGTCACCAATGTGCATGACTGCTAAATAGAATACAAAGTCCTTATTCAATTCATTGTGCCCACTCTGTAATGCTTTTCTCTTTAATTACATTAAACTGCATTTTCTGTTAGTATCCCAGTCACATATTTAAGAAAAAAAAAAAAAATGATGAATGTGGTTTGCCTGTGTGTGTTGTCTCTGGTTCTGGTAGTCATAGCAAATCTGACTCTTCTTGAATTGAATATCTTTGTCTGACATGTCTCCAATGAGAAGCCTGCAGACCACTTCTCGGGCCCCTTCTTTGAGATCTCTCCAAGCCTGGTGAGGTCTGTACCAGCGACCTGTGTTTCTTCTTAAGTCTGACCTTTTCACAGGGAGTCCAAGATAGTGTTGTTCAAGGCAGGCTTGTTGGGATGCTGTTTTTGCTGTTTTTGTTTTTGCTTTTTAAGGAAGAGTAGCATAGGATAACTTTTCCATTGTTGCTCCTAACTTTTGTGATGGCAAGTTCTCAAATGCACTGTCGCTGAACTCAGCAGTTGCACTCGCCAAAGCACATCTGAATCATGGCTTTCGGTACTTTCAGTGTAACTGATGTTGATCTAACAAATCTCATAATCGCCTGCTCTATTCCATGGCCCATTTTGGTTAATGGGGTTCCAGAGGTTTTTAGAAATCAGGCCTTGAACATGGGGACTTTGAAAGTTAGAATTCCCTCATTGACATCCTGTTTTGTTCTATTTGATGTGTGACATTGTGGCACTGTGCCCTTGACTTCAAAACCCAGGACACATTAACAAAATGAATACAAACAGCTAAAAACATTTTTTAAAAAACAGCAGCTGCAGCATTTTAGCTCCCTGTTGGGAAATAACATTATAGAACTCTACGGATGAGGAAGTTGGGCCCTCCAGAAAGCCCCTGCTCCGTTATTTAAGGTATGCTGGCTAGACTCCTGGGCTCTGGGAGTGAAAAGCAAGCATGCTCTACAGTAACCACTCTTTGGTCCTCAGGGGGAATTCTGCAGCTAAGAGGATGATTTTTCATGGTCTTACAGGTTTCTTAGGGCCTGAGTCTTACTTCTTAGCCTGGTTGCTGTCTTGAGACCAGCTTTGCTTACAAGCATTGAAGCTCATTTGAACACATGTGACTGGGATAATAAATGCCAAAGTACAGTTTAATGAAGACAAGCGTCATGTCTTTCAGTTCTTAATAATTTCTTCAACCACAGTCCGTGAAGGCTGCGTTCAGATGGGCTTTTGTAATTGAAAGCAAAGCCTCTTAACATCCTTAAATTTCCCACTTACTTATCCCTAAAAGCTATAACTGGTGGTGTGGTTAAAAGGCAGATTGGTAGCATTGAATCTCATGTTTAAGATGATGGTGTCTGTTCAAAAGTAGTTTTTACTCTCTGAACTCTCATTTAAAAAAAATAATAAAACTCATAATTCTGTTTTATGTATAGAGAGATTACTATTCAAATTTTTGTCATTTGGTTTAAAACATGTAATTGTAAGTTTGTCAGTCAGCTTAGGTATGAATAATGAGGCAGGGTGAATCGATCTCAGAATTTTTAGTAATTTCATAACCTTAAAAGACTAAACTTCTATAAATAAATATCTTTGAAATCTTCAGGGAAAGTCAAAGAGTAAAATTCTCAGAATCTGAAGTTTTCCACTGTTTGACAGAGTCCCTCTACATAGAGTATTTTATAAAAATGAGGTTTGGTACCAGTCCCTCAACCCTCCCTTTGCAAGAAGCTGTGACCAAAGGTGACTGCATTTTGGGGGAGCTTTGTGTTCTTGTTCATAATGATCATTACAAATCCCAGAAAAGTCAAGTTGTTTTTCTTGTTTTTTAAAAAAAAAATGCCATGTGGTTTTAAAGGTCTTTTGTTAGGTCCTTGACAGTTTGAATTTTTTTTCTTACGTTCATTTCTTCTGCCAAAAATACTTGTTTGCTGAAACTTTTTTCTAGCCAGTAGAAAATACTTTGTCATGTATAGGTACACTTTGAAAATAAAGGAATAAAAGCCTCTCTGTTCACAGAAATTGTGTACCTCAAATTAAAATGCTCCCTGTTAAGGTTTATATGAGGACATTTGAGCTTGGAGACTGATGACATTTGGCATTTTCTCATATCAGCAGAGCCTGATTCTCCAGCCATTCCTCCGTAAGGTGTGTGTGTGTAGGCTCTTGAGTGACCTGGGCTTGGTTGGTTTGGGAGGGTTTAGGTTTTATCTTTATCACATTTTTAGATCTAAAGAATGAAATACCATTCACTGTGATGGTTCTTAGAAGCTGTTCCCTGGCTCAAGGCCAAACACAATCCATTCTTACCAGGAGTAGTAAGGCTAGAAAGGAGAAGGAGTAGACGTAGAAGTCTTGAAAAATTCTTGCCCCCAAGCTGGAGAACCATGCTTTGTGATCAGGACTATGCGCCTCATTTCCCTCCATTCCTGTTTCCCCTCATGTGTACCCATGATAGGCATATGAGTGTGGGCAGAGTGGAATGATGGGGTTTATACTATTCAGTTAGAATTGCAGTCGGCAGAACTGGTCATTCTGTTTGAACAGCTTGCAATAATTATGACTTTGGGAAGGCTGTTACTAGCACTTTTTACTATTATTTAACTGAAAACATACAGCTTATTTACCCCAGGGAAAATAACTACAAATAATAGTATACTAAGTACTAATTTATCTCAAAGTGTTGGGTCTCATATTTGTAACTTTTTATTTTGTTCATTATTGCAACAAAATAATTGCACTAATTGCTGTTATATCATGCAGTACTAAGGGTGCTTTATTCATTGGTAGTGCATGTGGGAGGTGGTTGTTATTACTTAGCTCGTGTTGCATGTTAATGATGCATGTCTGAAATTTGTTGTGTCCTTCAAGGCATGATGGGTGGCTATCCGCCAGGCCTTCCACCTTTGCAGGGCCCAGTTGATGGCCTTGTTAGCATGGGCAGCATGCAGCCACTTCACCCTGGGGGGCCTCCACCCCACCATCTTCCGCCAGGTGTGCCTGGCCTCCCAGGCATCCCACCACCGGGTAAGAACTTCATCCTCATTCACTCATTAATCTCATCTTCATATTCTCTTTTTCCTCTTTCAACCAGTTGTTCCAGGAGGCACCCGTGGCTCATTGTGGCCAGGCCTTCCCTCCCTGAGAATCCCAAGGTTGTCAGCAGTGGGGCATGTCCTGTGCATTGAGCAGGTGGCCCAGCACTTATGCCTTTGTGTACCTGGCTGCCTGGCAGCAGCATAGGACACATGGCAGAGGCCAGACTCAGCAAACCAAGGGACAAGAGGCATACTGTATCACCACTCAACTAATGTGACATATCCTCAAAATGCCAGACAGCCTAGAAGGCTGTGCCCTCTTATCAGTGAATGCAGTTTCCCAGATTGCTGGTTCAGAGTGACATATAAAAGCACTTTTTGCTCTTGAGTTGCATTTTTCCCTCTGGTGCAATTCTTATCTCACAGGGTATACAGTACCTGTTCCATCTCCTACTTCTCTCAAGCAGCCTTTCTAAGGAGATTGCAGAACTGCTAATGTAGAACTCTTCAGAAATCTTTCACTCAGTCTGTCTTAGAAACAAAAAGGAGTGAGGGAATGAATTTTCACTGAATTAGTTTTCTGTATGTGAGTTCCTAAGAGGCATGACATATCAGGTGCAGTGGCTTATGCCTGTAATTCCAGCACTTTGAGAGAATGAGGCAGGTGAATCACTTGAGCCCAGGAGTTCAAGACCAGCCTGGACAACCTGGTGAGACCCCATCTCTATAAAAATTAGCCAGGGGTGGTAACATGTACCTATAGTCCCAGCTACTCAGGAGACGGAGGTGGGAGAACTATCTGAGCCCAGGGAAACTGAGGCCATAGTGAGTGGTGATCGCACCATTGCACTCCAGCCTGAACCACAGAGTAAGACCCTGTCTCAAAAAAAAAAAAAAAAAAAAACCTGACATTAAAGAACAGCCTAGTCTACCCTCCTAGCTGTAGATATTGGTTTGTCTGTCAACAGAAACTTAGAAGTTCTTTCATATAGAAATACATAAATGGAGGCCGGGCGTAGTGGCTCATACCTGTAATCCCAGCACTTTGGGAGGCCGAGGCAGGCAGATCACGAGGTCAAGAGATCGAGACCATCCTGGCCAACGTGGTAAAACCCTGTCTCTACTAAAAATACAAAAAAATTAGCCAGGCATGGTGGTGCGCGCTTGTAGTCCCAGCTACTTGGGAGACTGAGACGGAAGAATTACTTGAACCAAGAGGCAGAGGTTGCAGTGAGGCCAGATTGCACCACTGTACCACTCCAGCCTTGGCAGAGTGAGACTTCGTTTCAAAAAAAAAAAAAAAAAAGAAATATATAAATGGAGTCCAGAAATAGCTACATTCATTTTCACTTTATAATGAATTAGCAAGTTGAAAATTATTTTGAAGAAAAATGAAATCACATGTTCCCATATTAATTGCCATCATATGCAAAAGAACTCTTAGCTATAATCTGGATGGAGGGAATGTGACCTTTGGAAGACTTGGAAAGCATTTGGTCCATTACCTAAAACATCAGCTAAGGACCCAAACCAGATGGTAAAATGTGGGTGGAAACTTGTTAAACTTGCATATACCTGTGTTGGACCTACCAGCGATAGGGTTTTGGAGGGTACCAAATGATGCTTTGGAGGGTGCATCCAGCAGTGTGCAGGGTGAGCAAACTTCGTGGCCTGATCTGGAGCCTCCAGCCACACTCTTTGTGAGTGTTGCTTAGAATAATGGCCATAATTCCACAGAAGCATTTGCTCCACGTGTTCCCAGAGAAGGAAATGTTTGTAGAGTTAGGTGCTTCATGTGAAAACAGTGAACTGTGTGTGAATTGCTGTTGCAGTAGGAGTCAGTCATAAGATGAATGTTCCCATGTGGCAGGCAGACTTGGCCTTAATTCTTTGCCCTCTCACCTTGACACAGGGTATCACTGAGTCAGTAAGACCAGGCTGGAGTTGACACCTTCTAGGTACACTTAGTCTAACCATGACTTAGAGCCATGTCTAAGGCCAGTACCCTCTAGGTTGCAGATGTCTTTTGGTGGATGTTGGGGCATAGCTGTCTTCCTTTCCCTTTTCCTGAAATTCTAAATTGAATTTGAGAGAAGCCCAACACACCTGCTTAGAATTGAAGAGACAGGGTCAGGCGCGGTGACCCAGCTCCTGTAATTCCAGCACTTTGGGAGGCCAAGGTGGGAGGATTGATTGAGCCCAGGAGTTCAAGACCATTGGGCAACATGATGAAACCCCATGTCTATTTTTATTTAATTTTAAGAAAGAAAGAATTGAGGAGACAGGGAAGACCCCCTCTTAGTGCCTACAAATGCACGTCTGAACAGGCTTAGAGGAGTGGGGGATTCAGTGAGCTCTTCCGGTGACTCAGCTCACATTCTCACCCCCTGCCCCAGCATGCCATTTGTAAAGAGAGGAAGCAGAAGAGTTTGCTGACTTGTTTTTGCTGCCCTGCAAAGCAATGATACAGGTATTTTAGGGAGCCACACCATGTTGTGGAGTCTGAGGTGGGTGAGTGTCCCAGGGCACAGGGAGGTGATAGGCACAGAGGTTAATAATATATTGCTGGAGCAGCAGCTTACCCACCACAACCTCTTCATGAAGCTCTTCATTCACGAATAATCATCAGGATCCTTCTTTGGTGATCCAGGTGCACTTCAGGATACTTAGAATATAAAACTTCCTGCTTTTTAAACAGCTTTCTTACTTGTTATTTTCTAACAAATAAGAGGCTCTCTTATGCTTCCTGGAAGTGGCATTTAACAGTTCTGAACCTTAGTGCTCACTTCAGTAGCATATACACTAAAACTGGAACAATTCAGAGATTAGCGTGGCCCCTGCACAAAGATGACATGCAAATTCATGAAACATTTCTGAACTTAAGAATGATGAGCTGCTTCTGCCTGGACAGAATATCATGATCTTTAATCCAGAGGGACTATACACTATGAAGTTACCTCCTCTCGATCCTTCTACACAGCCAGCAGGATTTGTTTACATTTTCAAGAACACTTCACCACAGTTGTAGTTTAATTTATTTTTAATTAACTGGGTTCCTTGCCTATTTCTGTATTTTATCAGAATAGCAAATATGTGCCCTGAAATAAAAAAACCTTGGACACTAAATTTAGGACATCTCGTTATTATCAACTAGTGCCTGTGAGACAACAATTGCTCATGAGCATTCACTGAGGGAAGCTTACAAAATTATCAGAGACATAGAACAAATATAGTAGGGCCATGAAGTCTCTCTTTCCTTTGTCATTTTGCATATAAAATCATAGCAACAAGGTTACTTCACTTCAGATCATTCCTTTTTTTTTTTTTTTTTTTTTTTTTGAGATGGAGTCTTACTCTGTTGCCCAGGTTGGAGTGCAGTGGCAGGATCTCGGCTCACTGCAACCTCCACCTCCCAGGTTCCAGCGATTCTTCTGCCTCAGCCTCCTAAGTAGCTGGGATTACAGGTGCACACCACCACCACCAGCTAATTTTTGTATTTTTAGTAGAGATGGGGTTACACTATGTTGGCCAGGCAGGTCTTCAACTCCTGACCTCATGATCCGCCCACCTCGGCCTCCCAAAGTGCTGGGATTACAGGTGTGAGCCACTGCACCTGGCCCTTCAGATGATTCCTTTTCAGAGTGATACTCTATCAGATTGAGGTGTTCTCTCTCTGCCAACACTAGTGACTCCAGTTAGAACTAGCTGCTGGTGGTCTGGAAGGGGATAGCAAGGCTGTGCCTTCAGCCTTCACAAAGCTTATTTAACTATGCACTTCCACAGCCTCTTCCCTTGTGTCCCTACTATCCTAGCACATTGCTTACTGCTGAGCCTGATTCCAGTGTCATTCCTGCTGAAATTAAATACAGGCTTCAATTGCAGGAGAATGTGTTATCAGAAGAAAAACACCTTCAACGTAGGGGAATATTCTGACAATAGCTTACCTAGAGAAATACTACAATTTTATGCAGGGTTCAAATCATTTCTAAGCCATAATTGATGTACATCTGCAGATTGTTCTAGTATTATACTTTTAAGTACCTAGAAACAAAAGAACTTTCTATTAACGTCCTGTTGGGGTGCTTAGGATTCCTAGCCACAAAGATTCAAGGGCAGAGGTACATAGGTTTGAATTATGAATGGCATCACTTCTTATCAGACAGTAGTTTTTTAGTCATTTCAACCCAGAGCCTCTAACTGTGCCATTGCATTCTGAATTATAGGTGTGATGAACCAAGGAGTGGCCCCTATGGTAGGGACTCCAGCACCAGGTGGAAGTCCATATGGACAACAGGTGAGCCTCCCAGTTTGATTTTCTAGGACTTGACAGAATTCCAGTTATCCTCCTCAGAACATGTGCAGAGTATCTTTTTGCCTCACCATGTGACCCTGTGCTCTTTCAGGTGGGAGTTTTGGGGCCTCCTGGGCAGCAGGCACCACCTCCATATCCCAGCCCACATCCAGCCGGACCCCCCGTCATACAGCAGCCAACAACACCCATGTTTGTAGCTCCCCCACCAAAGACCCAGCGGCTTCTTCACTCAGAGGCCTACCTGAAATACATTGAAGGACTCAGTGCCGAGTCCAACAGCATTAGCAAGTGGGATCAGACACTGGCAGGTAAGGAGATTCCTTCTAAATAAGCCTTTGTGAAATATATGCTTCCTTAAAGCTGTCTCACTGCTATTAGTATATTATTTCATACAATAAACATCCCTTTTTCTTACATAGTTAAATTGTATATTTCATAGAATGATTTGGAGTTTCTTTGCATGTTGACATCACACACAGAAAAGGGTTTGTTTTTTGTTTGTTTTTTAGATGAAGTCTCTTGTCACCCAGGCTGGAGTGCAGTGGTGCAATCTCAACTCACTACAACCTCCACCTCCTGGGTTCAAGTAATTCTCCTGCCTCAGCCTCCCGGGTAGCGGGGATTACAGGCATGCACCACCATGCCCGGCTAATTTTTGCATTTTTAATAGAGATGGGGTTGCAGCATATCAGCCAGGCTGGTCTCAAACTCTTGACCTCAAGTGATCTGCCTGCCTCCCAAAGTGCTGGGATTATAGGGGGTGAGTCACTTGTGCCCAGCCTGAAAATGGTTTTTGGGGTTTTTTTAATTGTTTTTTGAGACAGTCTTACTGTATCGCCCAGGCTGGAGTGCAGTAGTGCAGTCTCGGCTCACTGCAACCTCTGATCCCTGGGTTCAAGCAATTCTTTTTTTTTTTTTAATCAAACAGCGTAAGAAGATCAAGCAATTCTTGTGCCTCAGCCTCCTGAGCAGCTGGAATTACAGGCGCTTGCCACCACACCCGACTAATTTTTGTTATTTTTGGTGAAGACGGGGTTTCGCCATTTTGGCCAGGCTGGTCTCAAACTCCTGACCCCAGGTGATCCACTCACCTTGGCCTCCCAAAGTGTTTGGATTATAGGCATGAGCCACCACATCTGGCCTGAAAAAAAAAATTTTTTTTTTTTTTTGCCAAATTTCAAAGCCTAGTTTTCTCATAAACATCCCTGCCATCTTTTTAAGTATATTTTTATTTTTTTCCGGGTGTTTGAACATTAGTATAGATGCATTTGGGTAAATTAAAAATTATTGCCCAGGCACAGTGGCTCCCACTTTGGGAGGCTTAACTGGACAGATCACTTGAGCTCAGGAGTTTGAGACCAGCCTGGGCAACATGGCGAAACCATGTCTCTACAAAAAAATTTAAAACTTTGCCAGATGAGGGCTGGGAGCAGTGGTTCACCCCTTTAATCCCAGCACTTTGGGAGGTTGAGGCAGGCAGATCACTTAAGGTCAGGAGATCAAGACCAGCCTGGCCAACATGGTGAAATCTCGTCTCTACTAAAACATAAAAATTAGCCAGACGTGGTGGCAAGTGCCTGTAATCCTAGCTACTTGGCAGTCTGAGGCATGAGAATCCCTTAAACCCAGGAGGTGGAGGTTGCAATGAGCCAAGATTGCACCACTGCACTCCAGCCTGGGCAACAGAATAAGACTCTGTCTCAAATAAAGAAAACTATTTTACCTCAGTTTAACAAAAGGAAAAAAATATTAGAAACCTATTAGGCTCTTCATTTAGTTCAACATACTTAATGTATTTTCAGTAAAGTACTGAAGTACTTGTGTAGTTTATGGAGAGAAGTTTACAAGTTTCTACTTGTTCTTGATTTCTAAACCAACTTTGGTAATTTCATTTCTTTTCCCTTTCTTCACATGTTTACCTTTTTAGGAATTTTTTTTTTTTTTTTTTTTTTTTTTTTTTGAGAGGGAGTTTCGCTCTTGTTACCCAGGCTAGAGTGCAATGGCACGATCTCGGCTCACCACAACCTCCGCCTCCTGGGCTCAGGCAATTCTCCTGCCTCAGCCTCCTGAGTAGCTGGGATTACAGGCACGTGCCACCATGCCCAGCTAATTTTTTGTATTTTTTTTAGTAGAGACGGGGTTTCACCATGTTGACCAGGATGGTCTCGATCTCTTGACCTCGTGATCCACCCGCCTCAGCCTCCCAAAGTGCTGGGATTACAGGCTTGAGCCACTGCGCCCAGCCTTTTTAGGAATTTTTGTTAACATTGAAGTAATTATTAAATATCAGGGATGCCTACAAAAAAATATTAATGATCATGCCAGGAGCGGTGGCTTATGCCTGTAATCCCAGCACTTTGGGAAGCCAAGGTGGGCAGATCACCTGAGGTCAGGAATTTGAGACCAGCCTGGCCAACATGGTGAAACCCTGTCTTTACTAAAAATACAGAAATAAGCCGGGCATGGTGGCATGTACCTGTAATCCCAGCTACTCGTGGGAGGCTGAGGCAGGAGAATCGCTTGAACCCAGGAGGTAGAGGTTGCAGTGAGCAAGATCTTGCCACTGTACTCTAGCCTGGGCAGCAGAGCGAGACTCCATTTCATATATATATATGAGATCAGATCTTTTACTGCCTAGTAAAATGATATAAGAAATGGGCCTGGAAATATTCTGCAGCTAAAATTTGTAATATTTAATAAATATTAAATATTTTGTGTTTCAGTAAGTCTATCAGACCTTAGAACTGAGGGAAATTTTGTCAACTTAAAATTCCATTTTCTATCTCTTTGTACTTTAATTTTCAGCTCGAAGACGTGATGTCCATTTGTCAAAAGAACAGGAGAGCCGCCTACCCTCTCACTGGCTGAAAAGCAAAGGGGCCCACACCACCATGGCAGATGCCCTCTGGCGCCTTCGAGATTTGATGCTCCGGGACACCCTCAACATTCGCCAAGCATACAACCTAGAAAACGTTTAATCACATAATTACGTTTCTTTTTTATAGAAGCATAAAGAGTTGTGGAACAGTAGCCATTTTAGTTACTGGGGGTGGGGGGAAGGAACAAAGGATAATTTTTATTGCATTTTACTGTACATCACAAGGCCATTTTTATATAAGGACACTTTTAATAAGCTATTTCAATTTGTTTTTGTTATATTAAGTTGACTTTATCAAATACACAAAGATTTTTTTGCATATGTTTCCTTAGTTTAAAACCAGTTTCATAATTGGTTGTATATGTAGACTTGGAGTTTTATCTTTTTACTTGTTGCCATGGAACTGAAACCATTAGAGGTTTTGTCTTGGCTTGGGGTTTTTGGTTTTTTTTTTTTTTTTTTGGTTTTGGGTTTTTTTATATATATAAAAGAACAAAATGAACAAAAAAAAAGTACACACACACACACGAGTTTACAGATTAGTTTAAATTGATAATGAAATGTGAAGTTTGTCCTAGTTTACATCTTAGAGAGGGGAGTGTACTTGTGTTTGTTTCATGTGCCTGAATATCTTAAGCCACTTTCTGCAAAAGCTGTGTCTTACAGCTGAAGTGCATTCTTTGAAAGGTGGTTATTTAAGTTTTAGACATTTGATAGACATGGCACATTTGGTCTGTTAACTCAGAGGCTCACTACAGAAATCTGTAATCAGTGCTGTGCATCTGTCTGCAGATAATATGCCTCCTGCACACCAGGAGGGGAAAAAGCACCTTTTCTTGTGCTGAATTAGGCACCTATGAGGTAGACGATGGTGTCAGTGATTTTTGCAGAACATGTGCACAACCCTGAGGTATATTTAGTCTCAGCAGGTACGTTTAAGGGTATTTTGATCTATTTATAATGAATTCACAATGTATGCCTATAAATACCAGATGATTTAAAATTTTAAACCTGTTACATTGAAGTTCATCTTGAAGAAAGCATTAAGGTATGCATCGAGGTGATTTATTTTTAAACATAACACCTAACCTAACTTGGGGAAGTGAATGTGTAACTAGATATGAGCTGTATAAGAAGCATAATTGTGAATGGGTAGATTGCTTTCTTATACTACAAGTATGTTTTAGTATTCTTTATTTCCTTATTATCAGATGTGTTTTTTTTTTTTTAAGTTTCAACGTTGTTGTAATTCTCAACCAGAAATTTAATACTTTCTAAAATATTTTTAAAATTTAGCTTGTGCTTTTGAATTGCAGAAGGGAATCATAATTTAATAAAATGCTCATTAGAAGGACCATTACAGATCCCAGACACTTGGGTTTGGTGACCCTCTTTCTTATATGACCCTAGAATAAACATTTGAAGGCAGCATAGGATGGCAGACAGTAGGAACACTGTTTCACTTAGCGGCATGTTTTTGAAACCTGCTTTATTACTGGGTGGTTGCCATTGTGGCAGAGCTTCCACTTCTGTTTATAAGCTGAGAGTCACTCTCAGAGGATGCTTTTTTCCTTTTAATCTGCTATGAATCAATACCCAGATGTTTAATTACTGTACTTATTAAATCATGAGGGCAAAAGAGTGTAGAATGGAAAAAAGTCTCTTGTATCTAGATACTTTAAATACAGGAGGCCCTTTAACTTAATTGCCTTTAGTCAACCACTGGATTTCAATTTGCATCAAGTATTTTAAATAATTTTGAATTTTAAAAAATGTATTGCAGTAGTGTGTCAGTACCTTACTGTTAAACTGAGTCAGATAAATCTTCAGTTCCTGGTTATTTGGGCAGTTGAATCATCATGGACTGTATAATGCAATCAGATTATTTTGTTTCTAGACATCCTTGAATTACACCAAAGAACATGAAATTTAGTTGTGGTTAAATTATTTATTTATTTCATGCATTCATTTTATTTCCCTTTAAGGTCTGGATGAGACTTCTTTGGGGAGCCTCTGAAAAAAACTCTTCACTGGGGGCCACGTGGGTCATTAGAAGCCTCCAGGCTCCTTCCCAGTGCCTAGAGGTGCTGTAGGAAACAGAGATCCAGCCAGGGGCTTCCCTAAGGCAGTGCGGCACTGGCCCAGGGCATAACTAGACAGGCCCTAATTAAGTTAAAAAAAAAAAAAAAGGCCTATATATTTATTTTAGAATCATGTCTTTCTGTATATTAACTTGGAGGATATCCATTAATATTTAGGATATAAGATTTGAGGTCAGCCATCTTCAAAAAAGAAAAACCAAAAAAAAAAAATTCTGACTTAAGAAAGTACAAGTAAACTATACATCTTTTTTTCATAAGTTTTAGGAACTAGTAACATGGCTTAGAAAGTATAATGGACTAAATGTTTTCAAAATGTAAGTTCCTGTGGAGAATTGTTTATATTTCGGGTGGGGGGACGGAGGGGAAACTATAGGTTTAAAATAGTATGTTTGTCAGCCAACTGATTTAAAAGGCCTTTAACTGTTTTTTTTTTTAAAACGCACTCTTCCCTTCCTATGAGGAAGAATTGAGGGGGGCACTTATTTCTGTAAAATCCCCAAATTGGTGTTGATGACTTTTGAGCTTGAATGTTTTCAGACCTGATTAAAACTTGGTTTATTCTAATTTCTGTATCATATCATCTGAGGTTTACGTGGTAACTAGTCTTATAACATGTATGTATCATTTTTTGTTGTTCATCTAAAGCTTTTTAATCCAAATAAAAATGGAGTTTGCAAAGTGATTTGGATTAACCAGGTTTGGTTGTTCTGTTAGTTGTGTCAGATGTTAGTTTCAAGCAGATTTAACTCCTGCAAGCCCTGATCTCATGCTGACACGGATGTGGCTAACAATTTAAGAGAATAAAGCTCCACAGGTGGAGAAGAAAGGCAGTGTCCAGACCCCTGGTTCAGGGCTCAGGCCACTTTAACACAGCCAAATGTACTCAGACTGCAGCCTGAAGTGCCCCACACCACACCTCAGGCTGGCAGTCAAGGAATTCCTAACATGTCCCAGCATGAGCAGAAATGCAGGTTGAAGTTAAAATTGGAGAGTTACTGAGGGCAGAAAGTATCATAAAGCAGTGTAGCCCACTTCAAATAGCTTTTCTGTGGCCAGAAGAAACAGGTGGCCCAGGTATCTTTAACATCTTTATAAGCTCTTAAAACATGACCACGCTTTTAGTAGAAAGTGTTGGTAAAATCAACCAACTGTTTTCCTCTAATATCACTTTGCAAATCCCTGTGGTTCTGTTCTCCTGGATTTAGGATAGTACTGGCATATGTGCCCCGGAGCATATTTTGAATAATCAGTTGCTGTATAGCTAGACATCCCATCTGAACACTGAGCAAATACTGCTATTACCCTGTTCCTTTTTTCTTCTTCTTCCTTTTAGGCAGAACGTCACTCTGTCACCCAGGCTGGAATGCAGTGGTGCGATCTCGGCTCACTGCAGCCTCCACCTCCCCGGTTCAAGCAGTTCTCATGCCACAGCCACCTGAGTAGCTGGGACTACAGGCATGTGCCATCATACCTGACTAATTTTTGTATTTTAGTAGAGACAGGGTTTCTCTATATTGACCAGGCTGGTTTAGAACTTCTGGCCTCAAATGATCTGCTGCCTCAATCCAAAGTGCTAGGATTATAGGTGTGAGCCACCACACCTGGCCTACTGTGTTCCTTTTTAGCCTGGAAGTATGCTAGGTCAGCTGAATGAAAGTTCAGAATTAAACAAATTAATGGACTGTCCTTGTTCCCTGTTTTAGCTATTTCATGGTATTTATATCTTGCATATTGCACATAAATTAGACAAACTCCAGATTTAATACATGCGTGAAGATGAAGCACTGATATGCTTTACTAGGGAGATAAGTTACTTTGGAAAACACAAGGTCCAAGAGCTTTTTTTTTTTTTTTGAGGTGGAGTCTCACTCTGTCGCCAGGTTGGTGTGCAGTGGTGCGAGCTCAGCTCTCTGCAACCTCCACCTCCTGGGTTCAAAGGATTATACTGCCTCAGGTTCCTGAGGAGCTGGGACTACAGGCACGCGCCACCACGCCCAGCTAATTTTTGTTTTAGTAGAGACGGTTTTACCATGTTGGCCAGGATGGTCTTGATTTCTCCACCTCGTGATCCGCCCACCTTGGCCTCCCAAAGTGCTGGGATGACAGGCGTGAGCCACTGCACCAGGCTCAAGAGTATATATATTTTTTTAAAGAGTTAATTCAGTGTGAAAAATTTAAACACATGCAAAAAATGGAGATTAAGTATCACATCAAGGATTTAGGGAAGATTTCCAAAATAGAACTGCTAGATAAACAAAAAATAACTCATTTATTAGGTGGTTTTTGTTTTTTGCTGTAATACTCTTGTACCATTTTTAGGTACTTTCTCTATCAATTCAGATGATAAAGTAACACTCCAAAGCCCATGTTCTTTCCCCAACACTGTGGAGGTGGAGTTGTAGCAATAAATGCGAATTAGGTTTTCAGCATTCTGAAATAAGTGCTGTAGTTTTTGAAATTTATTAAAATTTTATGCTCTGTAGTTTATAGTTGGTGGCATTGCAGTTTTTTTTTTTTTTTTTTTGGAGACAGGGTCTCACTCCATTGCCCAGGCTAGAGTGCAGTCTCGACCTCCCAGCTTAGGTTATTCTCCCACCTCAGCCTCTCAAATAGCTGTGACTACAGGTGCACACCACCATGCCAGGCTGATTTTTTGTACTTTTTGTAGATACTGGGTTTCGCCATGTTTCCCAGGCTGGTCTTGAAATCCTGGGCTCAAGCAATCCTCCCATCTCATCCTCCCAAAGTGCTGGGATTATAGACATGAGCTACCACTCCTGGCTTTAAGTTCCCATAAGTAGGATAGAGTCATATTCCTAGTAGGAGAGTTAAAAATATTTTTGAGGCAAAATTCTTTACCTTAGCTGGGCACAGTGGCTCACGCCTATAATCCCAACACTTTGGTAGGCCAAGGTGGGAGGACTACTTGAGCCCAAGATTTTGAGACCGGCCTGGTCAACATAGCAAGTCCCTGTGTCTACAAAAACTTTAAAAATTAGCCAGGCATGGTAGCTGGCTAGTCCCAGCTACAGGAGAAGGTTAGGAAGGAGGATCACTTGAGCTCAAGAGTTCAAGACTGCAGTGAACTATAATCAGGCCACTGACCTCCAGCCTGGGTGACAGTGAAACCCTATCTCAAAAAAAAAAAAAAAAAGCTTACATCTTGGTTAACAAATGAGTTCTCACTCACAGTTTCCAAACTAATGTGCTCTGAAAACCTGTCTTCCATTGAATACAGTCATTGCTTTGGTAGTCTACCTGCCTAAAGTCAGAAGTTGTCCAGTCTTTCTTCTTTTAATAGAGATGGAATCTGTGGCCTTGAACTCCGTGCCTCAAGCAGTCCTACCTGAGCCTCCCAAAGTGCTTGGCTTACAGGTGTGAGCCACCATGCCTGATCATTATTTTCAAAGTCTGTTGTCCTTCAATAAATTAACATTCTAATGAAAAGAAGAAAAAGAAATGAAGGGGAAAGCCAACATGAAATTCAGTCTAATGGTTCTCAGTGGGGTGGAAGTAGGGGGATGGGCCAGGGAATGAACCCACAGCAGGCACTGAAGTTAGCCAGTGGTTTTATTAAGTTTTAATATTATTCTTTGTAAAAGGTATGACATATTCTCTACATGTGTCAACTATTAAACTCCTAAAGCAATATGGGTGAGGGCAAACATATAGAATATGGCCATGTAATTGAGAGAATGATATATTTGATACAGCAGGCAAGTCACTAAAAATGGTTCATCAGGTTTACCAGGAATCCTAGATGACACAACTGGGCATGAGAATACAATGAACCACTGTCCCCTCCCTGGTGGTGGATAGGTCATTACTGGCCTTTCACATTCAAGCCATCTTGCAGCCATGACTAAGGGCTTGCTGTACTGTAGTGTAGGTAGTGCTTTAATGAGATCTGAGTAGTTAATGGTTCTTTACTGAATTGGTTCTAATGTAAGTGGACTAAAATTAAAAGGTGTTTGCTTTTTTTTTTTTTTTTTTTGAGACAGAGCCGCCTCCGCCAGGCTGGAGTACAGTGGTGTGATCTCAGCTCACTGCAACCCCCACCTCCCGGGTTCAAGCAATTCTCCTGCCTTAGCCTCCTGAGTAGCTGAGACTATAGGCATGCGCCACCATGCCCAGCTAATTTTTGTATTTTTAGTAGAGACAGGGTTCCACCGTGTTGGCCAGGATGGTTTCGAACTCCTTACCTTGTGATCCACTCGCCTTGGCCTCCCAAAGTGCTGGGATTACAGGCGTGAGCTACCATGCCTGACCACTGTCTGCTTTTTCTACTAGGCTGATCCAAACTTACACTGGGTCAAATTGCCAAATCACTCAGTAGACTGAGCCTCTGATGAGTCTGAGATTGCTTTACACTGTGTAGGTTCACTTTCTCAGAGAAGGAGCAACTGTTTCTAGCAGCTGAATGGAAGAGCAGCATCTTCATCACAGAGTGGTGTGAAACCTGTTGCCCATGGTCCTCATGAAGGCCCAGCCCTTGTAGTTTAGTGGAGCCAAGCAAGGGAAGGGCTTATTTCTGTTCACAAGAATACTAGCATGAGAAATGTATAGTCAGCAATTTCCACCACCCTAGCAAAAAGTTTATAATCTAGTAGCTGGCAGAAATGTAACCTGCATAATGATCCTGGTTTAAATGGCCTTGCATTGGAGAATGTGTCCATAATTTGATTTGAATTCTGCAAAACAGTAAATAAGGTAAATAAGGTTATCATTAGTTGCCTAAAAACAAAGTTGCCTAAAACAATTCGGGCTGCACTGAAAAGCATCCTGATTGATCCTTGAATTGTTTAAGAATTATTTCATGGACTTGATTCATTGAGTAAGTGTTTTAGGAGGAAATAATTTTCCCACAAGTGCTGTCCAGCGGTGACTTGGGAAGCACTCAAGCAGAGATGGAGCTATAAAAATTCTTTGCAAGGACAGTTACTGTAATATTGTGCAGCTGCTAAAGGACAAGCTGTGTCAGAACAAGAAATCTGAAAAGGCGCTGAAACCACTAGTAAAAATTCATATTGACTTTATTGACTGCTGAAGTTCAGTCTCATTCATCTTCCAGCCTTCTCTGATACTGTCTTTCTGAGGCTTTTCTACGGTAGACATCATCTGTATCAAACAAAAAATTGCTTAGATTTTTAAGAAACATATTTAAAATTAAAACACTCAATCTGAGTAATTTAGCTAATAGTCTAGGTCTACCACTTATTTCTGAATCTCGGCATTAATGTTTAACTCAATGCCAAAATAAATTTAAAGCAAAACTTGAGTTAGATGAGGACTACGTTAATGGAGTTCTAGACCTAAATAGGGTAAAAGTGGGTGTCCTGAAAGATAGAATCATGTCTTAGCACATCTCGTAGCGTTTTAAGATTTCCCTCACTTCCTTCTCCCCATAATTTCAATTCTGTGCTCTGAAGTCATTTTTCTTTCTTTTTTTTTTTTCTTTTCTTTTTTTTGATTGAAACGAGTACTAAGACAGGTAGAAGTCATCCTTCTTAACTAAAACCTGGCTCCTCAAAGGCACTTCTTGCCTCTTGGCTCTCTGCTGGCTCCCTCTCCCACACCCAGAAACCTTCAGGTGAGGAGCGTAAATCAGTTTCCTTGTTCCAGCTGCTGCTTTGCCAGACCTTTGATTCTTAACCTTCGTGTAAACAATCTTCTTCCTGGCCGGGCGTGGTGGCTCACCCCTGTAATCCCAGCACTTTGGGAGGCTGAGGTGGGCAGATCACAAGGTTAGGAGTTTGAGACCAGTTTGGCCAGTGAAACCCTGTCTCTATTAAAAATACAAAAATTTGGGGCCAGGCACAGTGGCTTATGCCTGTAATCCCAGCACTTTGGGAGGCCAAGGTGGGCAGATCACAAAGTCAGGAGATCGAGACCATCCTAGCTAACATGGTAAAACCCTGTCGCTTAAAAAAAAAAACTGCCAGGCATAGTGGCCTGCGCCTGTAGACCCAGCTACTCGGAAGGCTGAGGCAGCAGAGTCGCTTATACCTGGGAGGTGGAAGTTGCAGTGACCCAAGATTGCACCACTGCACTCCAGCCTCGGCAACAGAGCCAGCCTCTGTCTTAAAAAAAAAAAAAAAAAAAAAACTTCCTTCATGGCTCATGCCATTTTTCTGCCACCATCTTTCTTTGGCACCCGCCTCTCCCTCATGCCCCTTCGTCACTGAAAGTGCTGGCCTTTAGCTCAGGTTCCTTGCCCGTGTCCTGTGCCTTCCCCAGATACCACTATTACCCATGGGGATGAAGCTTCAGCCCCCTTCACCTTCAACATCTTCCAGTCACTTGCAGAGCTCCTCTGAAGGATTTCTGTTCAGACTGCAACCTCCATTACCTTTCCAGCCCTCCTGTCCTCGGACCTCACATTGCTTCCCCAGGCCTTTGGCCCCTGTCTTCCCACATCAGCCACCTCTTATTCTTTCTCCTGGCAAGTCAGCTAAAATTCCTTCACACTCTTGTCAATATTTTAACTTCCTGACACACTCTCAAAACCCCAACCACTGATTAATCCAACTTCCTCCCTTCCCCATGCTTCACCCTGCTAGCTGTGCACTGAGGGGCCAACTGATGCCTCTAAGTGGATCCACTGAGATGTTTGACAATCCTGTTTCCTCAGCCATGATCCTGAGTCTTCTTTACCCACCTCCAAATGGCCATGAACTATTCCTTCACAGAGGAAAGTCATTATAAAGAACTTTTCCAGCTAACTTCCAATGGCTTACTCCTGCCACCCAACTCTGCTCCCACCCTCTCCAGGGTCTAGTATCTCCAGGCTCTCTCCAGCCTCTCCTTCTAGATCATTATTTGCATATCCTACAGTCTCTCCTAGAGGAAGGGGGGGTACCTTCACAGAGCCAGACTTCTTTACCCTCCTGTCTTCTGTGATAAATCGTCCTGGTTTCCCTCCTTGCCTCTCTGGCCATTTTCAGTTACCCTTAAAATGTTGGGGTTTGACTTCTAGCACAATTTGCTTATGAATGATCACAAACCCCAATTTCTGGCCCACATTGCCTCCTAAGCTTCAGCTCTGTATAACCATATATCTACCTCATTGCATCCCAAATGGTGGCCAGGATGGCCCTGCCTGTGTTCTGCACCTTCAGGAAATGTATCACCCCTGCCCCAGCTGTCCCACCAGAAGCCTCCACTCATCTCCTGCATCCACCCACTCACCATGCTGTCAGTACTACCTCTGAGCTATCTCTTACTTGCAGCCCTTCCTGGCATCCCTTCTGCCCCAACCTAGACGAGGCCACCATCTCAACTCTGGACAGCCATACAGCATAACTGTTTCTGCCAATCTTCCACAGGGAGCCAATCTCCACATGTTAAATCCTCTCCTTATAACTACTCAATCCTTGGGATCCACTCTTGGTTCTTCAGTCCCTTTGCCACCCTGCCCAGGCACCCTTCTAGCCATTCCCACTCTGTTCATCTGCTTCAGTCCCTCAAACACACAGCATACTCTCCACAAGTGCTCCTACCACTGCCATGGAGAGCCTTTCAATACCACACACCTTCCCCTCATCTGGCTGACACCTACTCAGTCTTGAGGTCCTACTTTACTTGTAGCTGCTTCCGGAAGCCTTCTTGCACCATGTAGTCCAGCTGATGCTCCCACCAGAGACTCCTGTGTTCCTCCCACATCTTCCTCTCAGCACTGATCACTCTGTGTGGTAACTGTCTTTATCATCTTCTTTCCCATTAGAACTTATCTGGAGTGAGGGACAACTCTGCCTTGTTCATTCTGTCCCCTCAAGAATGCTCATTAAGTATCAATGAATGGATGAACAGAAGGACTAAGGAGCTTTAGGAATCACTAATGTAACATTTCTTTAAAATGTGGGTTGGCAATTCACAAGTGATATTGTTTCAGGAGAGGGGCAAAGCAGAGGGAATGGGGAAGTCCTCCTGAAAGGAACTGGCCTATCCAGAGTTAATGGTCAGTAATGCATTACCACTTTTTTTTTTTTTTTTTTTTTTTTTTTTTTGAGATGGAGTCTCACTCTCATCTAGGCTGGCATGCAATGACACAATCTCAGCTCACTGCAACATCTGCCCCCTGGGTTCAAGTGATCCTGCCTCAGCCTCCCAAGTAGCTGGGATTACAGGTGCCCACCACCACGCCCAGCTAATTATTTGTATTTTTAATAGAGACAGGGTTTCTGTATGTTGGTGAGGCTGATCTCAAACTCTTTTTTTTTTTTTTTTTTTTTTGAGGCGGAGTTTCGCTCTTGTTACCCAGGCTGGAGTGCAATGGCGTGATCTCGGCTCACCGCAACCTCCGCCTCCTGGGTTCAGGCAATTCTCCTGCCTCAGCCTCCTGAGTAGCTGGGATTACAGGCACGTGCCACCATGCCCAGCTAATTTTTTGTAGTTTTAGTAGAGACGGGGTTTCACCATGTTGACCAGGATGGTCTCGATCTCTTGACCTCGTGATCCACCCGCCTCGGCCTCCCAAAGTGCTGGGATTATAGGCGTGAGCCACCGCGCCCGGCTGATCTCAAACTCTTGACCTCATGATCCGCCCACCTTGGCCTCTCAGTGTTGGGATTACAGGCGTGAGCCACTGCGCCCGGCGCATTACCACTGTCTTTACAGTGCTGATCATCTGGACCCACACCAAAGACCTGATGCCAGTGTCTACCCTGTAAAGACAATGGTAATTAGCAAAGCCAGGCAGAACAGCTTCCTCCAGAGTTTGGACAGAAGAGTCCAAAGATAACTAGCCAGTTAGGAGTTTCTCTGAACCTTCAGATCCACCCCCTTTTACAATTGTGAGCAAGTCTGTTCCTTAGGCCCAAACGATGTCACCGGCAGGGGTAAAGGGCAGGACTGGAGGCACGTGACCTCTCTACTAAGTGCAGGGAAGGTCGCAAGGCTGGACGTTAATGTGCCTGGCCTACAGGAGAGCCGGGCCGCCCTGACTGCCAAGCGAATGGGACTGCACTTGCCCAGCGCTCTGAGTGCAATGCGCGGTCTGCAATCTGAGAATACTCCCCAGAAAAACGGATCCCTGCCGCCTCATGCCTTCCTGAAAGAGACTGCTACCCCCTCACTTACAGAAAGTCTCCTGGCCCACGCGTATGTTAATCATGATCCACTCCATCGTCCCTCCCAGGACAAAAAAGAAGGGCAGGAACCGGTAGATGCCGAATCGCCGCTTCCCGGGCACCCGCTGCAGAATCCGTCTCACCTGGGCCTTGGGAAACATGCTCGAACGAGGTCGTGGAGAGGGGTACGGCGGAACCACGCACTGGATTGCCCGGACGCAGCCGAGGCCGCCCCGCGCGTTCTCGCCGTGTACGGCTGCCTGGGCGACAAGCGAGCACCGCCCTCCGCCACTGACTGGTACGCGCACGAGTGCCGGAGCTGGGCGGCGACCTCCGAAAGCGAGGGGGAGCCGCCAATCAGAGTACTGCAAGGCGCGCGTGCTCCGTGAGGCCGAGCAGGGCCTGAAGCAGCTGGCGCAGGCGCCTCAGCTCTGGAGGTGGGGCGGCCCAAAAGGGAGGGGCAGCCCACGTGGCGTCGGCCCGGCCCCGCCTCCTGGCCGCCCCAGTGCGGGAGAGAGTTTAAGAGACTACCCCCTACTCTGCCACCGCCATTTTTATTCCTAACATGCTGCTAGAAGTGATGACCCTCTCTCACGGACTAAGTATGTACAGCACCATATTCCAAAATGCAGTTATTCACTGACTTGCGTTTATTTCGGAGACGTGATTGGTGCCTAGACTTCTAAAGTAACAGAATTTGATATGGAGTGTTGAACGCTGAGCTTTATCAATTATCACAGCAAAAATCTAAGTAAGCGCTGCGTGAGATCCCCAAAATTAACAAAAGCTACCTTGTATGGGGCACTTACCGTTCCACAGGCACCTGTAGGTGCTTTAGTCACAATAATCGCAGAAGAGCACGATAATTAAAGAGCACGAGCTCTGTTGTCAAATCACATCCCTGCTCTATAGGTGCTCCCTTAACCCATGTGTGCCTCAATTCTCTAAGCCGTAAAATGGAGGCCTTCCTTGCTCTGACGCTGTGAGGATTTAGTGCGGTAATATAAATGATGCACTGAACACAGTCCTGGAGCATAGTAACTGATTAACATTAGTTATAATATTCATTATGATGATGATAATGATTGGCAGCGCCCTTGTTCTCCACATGGATTTCCGAACATGGTTTTTGTTTGTTTTTTGAGACAGGATCTCACTGTTATCCAGGCTGGAGTGCAGTGGCGCGATCTCGGCTCACTGCAACCTCCTCCTCCCAGGCTCAAGCCATCCTCCCACCGCAGCCTCCCTAGTAGCTGGGACTACAGGCGCACACCACCACATCCAGCTAATTTTTTAATTTTTTGTAGAGACGAGGGATTGCCCAGGCTGGTCTCAAACTCCTGAGCTCAAGAGATCCTCCTGCCTTGGCCTCCCAAAGTGCTGTGGTTACAGGCGTGAGCCACCGCGTTCAGTCTGAACGTATATTCTTTACATGTATTCTCTTAACTGAAAATTTGAGAGACTATGCCAGGTAGAAGCAGGGCTCTGGCTTAAGAAAATTCACTTGTCATTGCGTCCTCTCATGCTGCTGTGCTTGCTGAAGGTAACTGAAAGGGGCAGTCATCCCATTACCTAGAGATAAGATAACAACTGCAGAAACAGCTTTGAGAAGGGAGACAACCATTAGACAATCTAAGGAAGGTAAATGAACACTTAGAACCAATGAAACGATTTGACGATATGGACACAAAATATACAAAAGCAGACTGGAGAAGAGAGCAAGCAGGGCCCCAGAAAGGGTCACAGGGCCCGCAGTGAGCAGCCTGAGCTGCCGCCCATACAACCGGCTTTGGAGAGCCAGCCAGGAAGCCTCTTTCTCCTCCAGGTCAACTCCATCCAAGCAGGCACACACACACAGGCTTGATGCTCGCTCCCATTTCTGCAGGTGGTTTTGACGGCTGGACTGCAGGCATCCCCTCTCCTGGAGGAGGTTCACGTGTGGCCAGATTCCCAGCACACCCACTAGCTCACTGGGGCCCTGGGGGCACCACCACCCTCCAGCGCATCCTATGGGCTCATTCTTTACCAGTTCCCGGGCCATGGGCTGCCACACTGTAGGTCTTCAATCAAGGTTCAGTGGAGTTTCGAATATACACACACTCTGAAAGCCAGCGAGGCCACCTCAGGAAACAACGGGCGCCCAGCTGGCTGGCTCCCCTCCGACCTGGGCCACGGGTGCTGGGTCTGCCTCCTCCGGACCCGGCGCACAACCTGGTATGCGTGCGGGCTCAGAATACGGACCTGAGCAAAAGAAATGCGAGTGGAGAGGGGTTCTGAGCAGGAAAGAGGAATTTCATTGGAAAGCCTGGCAACATAGCTAGAAAATACCGCAGCATCTCACGAGGGTCCTGCATTGGGAAACGGGGAGTTGGCAGGTCGGTGCAGCCAGTGACCGCGGCCCATAGCCCTGCAGCGCACGGCCCAGTCACCTGGTTGAGTTAGAAGGGGTCATCCTAGCGGGAGAAGAGTCTGCCTTAGTGGACAGCGGCTGCCCTGCGGGCCCCTCGGTCTCCCCCAGCGTGGGCCTGGCACCGGGGAGCGCGGGAAGGGCTCTTTGTTAGATTAGTGAGTGATCTGGCCCGGGCTCTGGTCATTGGGCAGTCAGTCCAAGCCCGGATTCGGGGGACCAGGACCCCGGGAAAGGAGGGCACAAGGACTAGGGGGAGGGGCGGAGGATCTGGGGTCAGAAACATCCAGAGGCGCAGGGAAGCGGGCGGACCCAGGAGCGGAGAGGAAGGCAGAGGACCAGGGGGTCGGGGGAGACCCGCCGCTCTCCAGCTGTCTCCTCTCGGCGCCTTGGCCGTCCGGAGCCTCTCGGGGACGGCCGCTCTTAGGCCCTCTGACTTCCAGGGCTGGGGTCGGGGAAAGGCGCCGCCATCGCCGGCGTGACGGCCGAAGGGGGGCGCAAAGTCCTCCAGGGCCGCGCCGGAGACTGGGGGAGGGGGCTGGGGAGCCCGTCCCGCCCCACCCCGCCGGGTCCGGGGCCTCCCGCCCCTCGGCCCAAGGGGCGCGCCCATTGGCAGACCGGGCTCCGCGCGCCGCACCCATTGGCCGGCCGCCGTGAGAAGCACGAGGCCACCGTGGCGGGCTCGCAGTCGGAGGGCGGCGGGCGGCGGGAGGGCTGAGGGCAGCGCGGGCTGCGGGCGGCGCGCAGTGGGCATGGCGGGTGCGGGGCTGCGGGCGGCCGCTCGACGCTGGCTACTGTGCGGAGGCCACGGCGGGCCGCGAGCCGCCTCGTCCTCGCCCTCCTGCCCTGGCTGCGGCCCCCCAGGTCCCAGCGCCCCCTGCCCAAGCGCCCCGGCATCCGCCGACCTCAGCGCGCACCTATGGGCTCGTTACCAGGACATGCGGAGACTGGTGCACGGTGGGTGAGCCGGGGCGGGACGTGCGCCGGGGTATCTTCGCGTGGACGGACGGACTGAGCCCCAGGGCTCCGGAGCCCAAGGGCCGGGCGGCTTTTCGCGAGAGGCTTCTGCCGGTCATCCCGGGGGCCTCTGGGGCGCCTCGACGCCCGGGGGCGGGCGGGAGGTTGGGGCTCCTAGAGCGGCTGTCGGAGTGCTGGGCCCCAGCTGCCTTCCTTCGGGGTCCCGCCAGCAGTCAGGCTGCGGCGGAAACTCCCCCAACCCCTTGTTCTCCGCGGGCTCTTAGTTGGGGCAGGAGAGTGCTGTGGACAAAGCCAGCGAGCGGCGCTAGGCAGAACTGGCTCCTAGGGACGGCCGGACCAACGGGGACAACCGGCTGGACTTCCCAGACATACTTCGATGTCGCCCAAGAGGTCCAGCCCCCTCTCAGCCCGGGAAGCGAAGGCTGGGAGGAACTAAATCACCCCCGCCCCCTGGAGCTCAGACCAGGGCTGCAGGGGGCACTTAACCTCCCTGCCTGCTCTCTCCCTCTGAGAAACGGCTTGGGGAGGCTGAGTCCCCTTCTCGGAGAGGGCCGACCGGGGCGCAATAGTGAGGCCCCAGAGCTGAGAGTGCTGGACATCGGCCCGCTTGTCTCCGTGGGTCTAGTGGGGCCCTGCTTCTGGAGCAGGCCGATGTGGGTTGTGACCCTATCATTGACCAGCTGGGTGGCCCCCTGCAAGCCTTACCCTCTCTCAAACATGAAACGGGGGCCTCGCTGTCCCAGGGTTGGGTGACGACTGGAACCAGGCCAAGTGGGGGCAGGGGAGCTTCCGGAGGAACCCCCAGGGGTGACATGGCTTTCATTGCCTGAAAAGACAAAGTGGCCCTGTCTGGAAGATTCCAACTGGCTAGACGGGGGCTTTCACTCCGGCTTTGTAGGGTGGCGGAGACTCACTTCTCGACAAGTGAAGGCAGGATGGTAAAGGCCACTGAGGAATGGTCGTTTTGAAGCCTTGGGCATCTGTCCACCCTCGAAGTTCTGGGTTGAGTTTGTGTCTGTGGAGGGGCGGCTCAGCGGTATTTAATAAGTGTTTGCTCTGGGCCTGGAGAAGACCCTCTGAGTGGCCTGAGAAGCCTGCCTTGGAAGTTTCAGGGAGGAGCATGGGGATCTACTGGACATTGGCCTCCTGGGCCTGCCTGCAACTTTGGAGCTTCACAGCCCTCTAAGCTCCTCGTTAGGCAAGGAGCAAAGGCATTTCCACTGAGATCCCATGGTGGCCACCAGCTGGAGCCAGCTTCACACCCCTGGGCACCAAGGTTCGCTTTGGGCTAATGCCCATGGGCTGAGAGGAGCGCATCAGGTCCCCCAGCCCCCACCCACCTGGTCTCAATGTGCTGACGTTGGGCAGCTAGGCTGAGGAGGGGCAGAGTGATTAACGCAGGTGGGGTAACTTGAATGGTGATCAGTCCCGGTGCCTGTTACTGGGCGGTTTGGAGTAAGTGACTTCATCTCCTTGAGCCCCCATTTCTTCCTCTGGCTGATTGGGGAATTAGTGGGACTGCTTCAAAGGACTGGAGTGAGGATTGAACAAGACAACCCTCTAAGGCATCCACAAGTGTGGCTGCTAGAGAGCAGTTGGCCCTGGGACCTGGAGCCATGGGTAGGTGTGGAAGCTGGGGCTGAGGAGAAAGGAGGGCAAGGGCTGGACATGCTGGGTGGGGCACACCCTCAGCTGGCCCCCACACCACCACCACCTGTGGAAGGGAGTGGGCCACTGTTGCCCTGGAGCTAAGGGTTTCCTAGTCCAGAAATCAGGCCAGGCGGCCAGACCCTGTGGCTATTTACCCATCCTGCTTTGTTCCTGGGAGGACTGTCTGCCCCTTGGCCCCTGGGAATATCCTTAAGGGCAAGGGTGAACGCCTGGACCTAGTCAGGACTCTGTGTCAGCAAGGGGCTGTACTGGGAAGATCACCAAGAGTCACAACCACAGTTGGTACCCACGAACTGAGGGCCATGGGGAGGGCAAGGCCTAGGGTCCTCGTGGCACCAGGGCCCTGGGCCTTGAAGGGCAGCTCAGAAGCAGTTCCCTAGAGGGCTGCAGCTGACAGTCTTACTTGCATCCATGTGAAGACTCCTGTCTTCACCCATGGATCTGTGGAGCAGCCGCTCTGTGCTGGCCTGGGAAACCAGCCACACCTGATCCCCCACCCACACCCTGAACTTGGCTCCAAAGGAAAGGGGTGGGGATGGAACCCTGTGTTCCCAGGGTGCATGAAGCACATCAGTGAGGTGTCTGACTTGAGTACAGCTGCTGCCAGGCACATTGTGGGGCTCCCCTGGCCCTCTGGCCTGGCAGCTTCTGCTTTGTGATTGGGACTGGGGTTGTGGCTGAGACAGGGATCCCCTGGAGGCTTAGAGCCAGGGCCCCTGCAAGGCAGTGTCCTGTGTACCTAGTCCTGCCTGCTCCCTTCTCCCTGCAGCCCCTGCTCCTGGAGGGACACGGGGAAATTGGGGACAAGATGCTCAAGAGCTCAGGAAGCATATCACCCATTTAATCCTGTATATGTGCAGGTGCAGAGTGGGATTGCTGCACAGAGCAGCACCTTCCTTATGACCCTCTTAGTAATTCTGTAGGTTGGTACAATTTTTTTTTAATGTTTGCAGAGACAGGGTATCGCTATACAGCCTAGGCTGGTCTTGAACTAGTGGGCTTCAAGCAATCCTCTCACCTCAACCTCCTGAGTAGCTAGGACTATAGGCGTGCGCCACCATGCCCCACTTCATACAATTTTTCCTACCCTTTTAGAAAAAAGGAAACTGAGTCCCAAGAGGTGAGGTGATGTTTCTGAAGTCACAGCCATGAGAGGGAGGGCCTGGTCTTCCTGCCTGACTTCATTGCACGCGGCCTTCCCAGCGCATTTTCTTTCCCTTCCACTTTCCCCATTGTACAGATAGGGAAACCAGGCAGGTAACGTGGGGCCCCTCAGCCTCATCTGCTTCCTTGGGACCCAGAGCCCATGCTGCACAGTGACCTGCTCAGCTTCCTGGTGTGGGCCTCAAAGCCACTGCAGCCTCCTGGGAGCAGCAAGGGACTTGAGGTGGCCACGACCACATCCCCAGAAGGAGCAGCCTGGATAATGGCCCAGAACCTGACATCACGTCCTGCATGTTGTAATTACCAATGTTCCCTGGCTAGAGCCAGCAAATGTCATTATATGGGCTGTTGGGCAGCTGAAATCTGATTAGAGGGGCCTCACTCTCCCCAGGCTGTGGGAGGTGCACAGAGCTGGCAGTCCAACAGCAGAGGGGCTCCCCATCCTACCAATGGTCCTGAGCTCCAGTCCCAGTTCTGGGCAGGGTAGAAAGTCAGCATCCATGGCCTCAGCCCCCTAGTCTGGCCATACAGAGCTAGCCATTCTGGGTTGGAGTCCTCAGTGCCTACATGCTATCCTCACACATAAAAACCCCAGGGAGGCTGAGAGATGAGGCCATAGGGCAGGGCAGCGCAGAGGAGTTGAGAGGAGCAGAAGAGCCTTTGAATTGTAGGGGGCCAAACAGTGGTGCTCCTGCATGGGTGTTGAGCAAGTGGGAGGATTTGCACTATAGAGCATCCCAAAAGCAGTTATTCTGGAGCTAGGCAGTGAGGAGCTGAGTGACTGCTGCCAGGGTTCTAGCATGGCCCTGTGTCTGATAGGGCTAGGTGGTGAGAGCCTGGAGTAGTCATGGGCTCAGTGCACTTGGTGAGCTGCAGGGGAATAGTGTAATGCAGGCAGGTGTAACCATGGGGAGGGGAGTGCCAGCCATGGGACCTGCCCACTGCCAACTCCACCTTACCCTAACCTTGTGACCCTGGGCCTGTTTGACCATCTGCAGCACTGGAATAAGAGCTGCCATTGTGGGGTGTTTCTGAGGCTCACAGGGCTGGGCCCCCACAGCATCCCCAGGAGCCATAGCTGCTGCAGTGCTCATCATCCCCATCACTGCCTCCCTGCATCTCCTTCCACTAGACCTCCTGCCGCCTGAGGTCTGCAGTCTCCTGAACCCAGCAGCCATCTATGCCAACAATGAGATCAGCCTACGTGACGTTGAGGTCTATGGCTTTGACTATGACTACACCCTGGCCCAGTATGCAGACGCATTGCACCCCGAGATCTTCTGTGCTGCCCGCGACATCCTGATTGAGCACTACAAGGTGAGAGGGGTCCTTGCCACCAACACAACCAGGGCCTGGAGGCTGGCAGGACCCACCTTGGCCTAAGCTCAGGGCTGAGTCATGGGGCTCCCTTGGCCCTCTGACCTGGCAGCTGCCCTGGACAAGTGGCTGGATGACCCCCTGGGGTGGCCATCCAGCCAGCAGGTCTGACAGTGCTATTGGCTTAGGCCTGGCCCTTTTACCCCGACAGTACCCAGAGGGGATTC